AGATTATTAACCATGAGATGCATGCATTAATAATCCAAGTTTACTACCATGAAAGGACCGAATTAATAACAAGCGTATTAATCGACCGATTCTAGTATTAATTAATATATGAAACAAAACTAGTTGATCCTTTAAGTAATGTTCAAAATATTAATATGAAATATGAATAGGAATTAATTAATACTCAAGAAAGAATATTAAAGAAGATGAATCCTACTATAGTTAATATCAAGATGTTAACTAATTGTCATCTTAGTAACACTCCCCAATATTAACGTAGAGGAAGAAATAATTATTACTATAACTAATGTCAAGATGTTAACTAATTGTCATCTTAGTAACACTCCCCAACATTGATATAAAAATAGTATTTAAAGGAAGAATTAATATTCAAGGAAGAAGATTAAAGAAAATAACTCACAACTTACAAATTCATTAAGCTTCAAAGTAGCAAAACCAAGATGGAAGAGTTTAGCTCCTCATTTGGAGACTAAACATGATAGAAAATATAAAGAAAACACTAATCTAAACTGAGCTAAAGAGTATATGTGAATTGGTGATTTTATTGTGAAGGAAAGGGGTGTATTTATAGGCTTTTGGGAGCTGCAGGGTCTGATACCCGATCGGGTATATACTATATCCGATCGGGTATCTTAGGAAATTGCCCAGAAAGTCACTTTTCTGGGCATACCCGATCGGGTATGTCGGCATACCCGATCGGGTATGTGACAAATCTTCACGAAAATTTGCTCCCATGATCATTTGTTCCCGGATTTGATTTGGACAATCGAATCAAGTGAATGCCCGATCGGGTATAGGCAATACCCGACCGGGTACATGAGTATTTTTTCCAAATCGAAATCTTTCTTGTCTCCTTGCACTTTCCTTGATCTTTTAAGGTCCAATCTTGATCCCTTCGATGATCTTTGACCTGTTTAGCTCAGAATAATCCTAATCTAAACAAATTACAAATAAAAATGAAAATAAAATATTACACCAAAATTGTGTAATTTCCACAACTACAACTAATAAAAACTAGTTAAAAATACAAACATACAATCGGAAATTACACGAATATCAGGACTTGAAAAATAGATGAACTTCCATTATTAGGGGACACGAAAGATGAAATGTGTCTTTCAGAATCATGTGTTTATCACAATGCTAAAAGCTATGACTAGTAGCTAAGGGGAAATTTTATTTTCGTATACTTACGTAGTAGTCAGACACTACGTTTCGATTGCACTAGCAGGCTGACGAGATTGCTAGCACCGGATTTCCGCGACCCAACAATCCCTCATCATTTGTCAGCCTATAATTGTGCAACATGCTATTGTCGGGGGTCGAACTCGTGACCCACATTGATACAATTGCCAGCATAGAACATTTATCATTACACCAAAAGTTATAGCTGGTAAATTAAGAGTTGGGGTTCCATCTTAAAAGGTCAACCTCATAGAAGGAGGAAGAGCCAGATCTTAATATAGTGTTTAATTGCTTTAAAAATATCCGATGTGGGACAATAACACCCCTCCTCACGACCAGTTGCTTCATCTGGAATCGTGCCGTCAATCACTTTTTCATCAATTCATCATTCTCTTTTTTTATAATTTTGTCGTCATTTTTTCATAAGAGACCCATACTATGAATCGATTTGGCTCTGATACCAAATTAAGACCCGTGGTTCCAACGTAAAAGGTCAACCTGATAGGAGGAGAAGCTCAGATCTTAATATAATGTTTAATTGCTTTAAAGATATCCGATGTGGGACAATAACATGGTAGTGAATATGCAACTTTGTTTCCTGATACTTGTGTAGCAGTCAAGCACCACACATCGATTTGCATCGGAAGATTGGCAGGCACCGCATTCCCACAACCTAACAATGTCAATGTAGGATCCGAATAATGGAAAACCATCAATATAACACCTAAATTATTGTTCAATTTGGTTTATTTGTTCTTTTCTTAATTTCATTGCTAATTTTGATGATTAAAAAAGGGTGTTTCTTCGCAAATTTTTATTAGTTTGATAAAATTAAATAATCTTAAATTAAAAAAAGAATCATAATAATACTGGTCTTAGATTGGTATTTTTCAATCAATCGCACCTTATGAACCCTATATCGACACATTTCATCTTTGAGGTCCCTTATTGATTCTTCTTGTTAAGATTCCTCCTTAACTGGAGATAGATTCTAGAAAATTTAAGATCTTTCTAGAGAAGTGTAATTTTTTTTAGAACGACTCAGAGAACTCTAGAGAAGTGTAGAACTCTTTAGAAACTTGTTGAATCCTCTAGAATATTGTAGATATGTTTGGAACATTCTAGAATCTTATAGAAGAGTACGGAAGGATATAGAAGAGAGTGGAAGGTATAGAAACTCCTTGAAGATCTGTAGAATCTGAAGACATGTGTAGAACATTCTAGAGAATTATTCCCCACCATTCATTGTGGAGGTAGAGTAGTATAAATTGGAGTAGAACCTTTACTCCCAACCGTCCAAGTCAAGAGTGAAGCCACATCCTAGAGTGAGAACATAGATAGTGAGAGAGTTTCTTGAGAGAGAAGAGAGATAATAGCTTGAGAAGTTTCTATTCTCAAACTTGAATGAACCATCATATACTAAATCAATTTTGTAAACACATCATTGTATCATGCTATTGTATAATGGAATAATCTCCATATTGAAGATTATACTCATTTACTTTTAGGGATAAGGGTCAGTTTGGTCCTCGAAGTTGCAAAAAAGGGGTCAAATAAGTCCTTATATAGAAGTTTCTGTCCGGACGTGCCATTTGAGGTGGCTCCCGGTAGAATTTTTTGATGAATTTTTTTTAGTATCTTATTCATTAAGTCTAGTTTACTCATACCAAATTTCAGATAAAAATTCAATCGGGAAGACATTCAAATGAATTCTTGAAGATAACTGTGCCGTTAAAAGCGCTATTATCTTCAAGAATTCATTTGAATGTCTTCCCGATTGAATTTTTAGCTGAAATTTGGTATGAGTAAACTAGACTTAATGAATAAGATGCTCAAAAGAAATTATCACAAAATTCCACCGGGAGCCACCTCAAATGGCACGTCCGGACAGAATCTTCTATATAAGGACTTATTTGACGCCTTTTTTGCAACTTCGAGGACCAAACTGACCGTTTACTCTTTACTTTTAACTGCTAAGTGTTTATCTTAACTTCACAAAGCGGAAAGGTCTGTCGTTTTCACAACAATTCTTTTACCTTTTGAGTCATGGATCGATAAATTTCAAAATTTTAAGGAGCCCCATTGAAGTCACATGGGCTAAGGTGACAATGTGACATCTTCACAATCACTAAATTTCTAGTGGGGAGTTCAAAATAAAGTTCATTCTTTGTTCCAAAATAAAACTTTATTCTTTCCTTTTTCATTCGTCTATCGCCGCCAACGCTTGCATGTCTTCCAGCCCCGCCGCTTGTGGCAGGACTAAAATATGACGATTCGACAATTTTTATATAATATATCAATTACATCTGTATATTATAGAAATGACTTTTATGTTAAACTCAAATGAGTATAACACCCATAGGGAATGAAAATATACAAATATATGAATATTGAGAACATTAATTAGAGATTTCAAACGAGCTTTCGAATTTTTTTATGCTCATTTTGTAAGTTATGTATGATTGGAACTGGTGTTATGCTCATTTTAAAGTGTTATATCAATGCATATTCCAAAAGTACCATATTACATTAGATTCACATAGAAGTTGATTATAAATATAATTTAAATGTTTTACAAAATAGAGAAAACTAATATTACTAGCGAATTGTAAACATAATTCCAAAAGTATCGTACTCCCCCCGTCCCTTTTTATTTAGCCAAACACTATTTTTCAAGTCAAAGTTGTTCAACTTTGACCGACTATATATTTATACACGATAATATTTATAATATAAAAATTATATGAAAATGTTCTTTGTTACAAATACTATAATAAAAGTATAAATTTATTACGTTTCACATTAATATATTAGTTAAAATAATGGACCAAAGTTTATCACCTTTGACTGGAAAAGTCAAAGTTGGCTAAATAAAAAGGGACGGAGGTAGTATTACATTAGATTCACATAAAAGTTGATTAAAGACACGGGGTCACATATCATGATACTAAATTGCATGAATGTATTAGGAATTTTGTCAATCAAGTAATTACTTAAAGATAAATAAACTATCAACTCGGGACCTGATAAATGAACTATGTCATATAGGACCTGAATGATAGAAAACTATCGATCTAGGATCTTAGTTGTCATGAATTTTGTTATTTTTATACTTTAAAAATTTTAAATATTATTTAATTTCATTAAACTAATGAACTTTTGTGAAGAAAATTCATCAAAAGTTAGCAATGGATTAAATAAAAAAGTAAATAAATCAAAATATGTGTAATTTTAGGTCCTAGATTGATAGTTTTTATTCATCGGTCTTATATCAACACATTTCATCTTTTAGGTCCCGTATTTGATATTTCATCTATCTTTCAGGTCAAGGATTGATAAAATTTCATTCTAATAATCAATAGAGGAGATTTGATACTCTGAAAATGTTTTGATGCTCAACCAACAAACCTTACGATTTCATATATCAATACTCATTTTTGCAGATTATGTGTGCTCATTTGATGTCGATGTTATGTTCATTAGATTCACATATTGAAATTCATAAGATTTTATTAAAGATGTTATTTAATAAAATCTTATAAAAGAAAAAAAAGGAATAACAAAGTAATCTAGAACGTATCAAAAAGAGATCATGATGCTCAATATTAAACTCCTAATATTCAATAGAATATGTTTGATGTTCATTAAAAGCGCATTAATGTTCATATAATGGAAATCGTTATTTTCACTATAAAATGCTCAACTACTTTATACGGAGTATTATACAAACTTAATCAATAGAGTGTATTCACCGTATTTCCATTTGCGATAGCATCTCATCATAATTGACTTAACGATAAAAGAACAATACTCGTAATTGAATATAGGGAAAACTGTCAAATAAGTCTCTGTACTACATCCAAAAAGTCAATTGAATCCTTGCACTATGAAATCACTCAATTAAGTCCTCCAACTATTCAAAATGGTTCAATTTTACGTTTAAAAGGTAAAGTACCGGTGACTCCCGGTGATCAAGTTAATACGCACACGTGGCATCCACGTGCCTGTTTTTACTCGTTTTTTTTTTTTTGATGAATTTTTACTCGTTTTTTCTTTTCCCCTTTTTTCTTTGTTCCTTCTCCTTTGCCTTTCTAGCTTCATCCTCTACGACTGCAATGCTTCTTCTTTTTTTGTCTTACATTTTGTTTTTGTTTTTTAATCCCCCCCTCCCCATCAGGCGCTAGCATCGGGCAGCTACAAGAAGCCGGCGGCGGAATCCGGAAGCGAACTCTAGCAACGGATGCCTGCAAAAATTGTGTTCAGGTCCACGGTGCTCACTCCCGGCGTCTTCATTCTTCATCGACATTCGCGTATCCAGATCCCAAAGAGCTAGAGGAAGAGAGGTAGATCAATGGATGTCATGGGTCTTGAGATGGGCGGTGAACTCATCGACAATCGCGCCAACGTCTTGAGATTGGCACCGTGTTCGCCGGAGAACATGGAGCCGCGAACCAGGAAGAAGAAACTGAACTGAACACGCCTGCAACTTCTTTCTCTGTCTTTTTCCCCTTCTTTCTTGCCGGAGTTCGTTGTTAGTGTCTGTTGTCGGATTCCGCCGCCGGCTTCCAGGAGCTGCCAATATTAGCGGCTAATGAGGAGGAGAGTATAATAAAAGTGTTGAACAAAAAATGAAATAAATGTAAGAGAAAATCAAAGTAAAGCTGGGTCGGTGGGAGTAGTACTAAATCGATGAAGAAAGGGGATCGGAGGGAGAAGGAACGAGAAAGAAAAGGCAAGGGGTAATTCCCTGCATAGGAGTACAACATTGCAAATATCCACAAATAGGAGTAGGAGTTGAACATTCCGTGTATAGGAGTTAAAAAGACCTGGATTGACCAAATTGCCCTTAATGAAAGAATCAGGATCTATAATACTCCATATAAAAACAAAAAATAGAAAATAAATAATCCACTTTCTCTATAGGCTTTCTCATCCTCACGATAGCTAGCGACTAACTACCGCCATCTCCTCCACCGTCCGCCTCTGCCGTCCCGCCTCAGCCGTCCCGTCTCCGCCGCACTCAGGCGATGCCGCCGCCGGCCACCTGCACCAACGACAACTTTCTCTTTTTCCAATGAGGTCGTACTCGCCACCTCCATCGACACTTAGCTCTTCCGCAGATCTCCTCCTCTTATGAGGCTGCCACCGCCACACTGTCACCTCCGACAACCACCGCTTCCGGTATGCCGGCTACCAATATCCTGTGAGGAAATACAACCACAAAATATGAATCTATAAAAAATAAGAATTATGGTTGATATATTGATATCATACTGCCATCTTTAAGATAATACACATACTTTACTAATCTATTGATATCATACTGCCATCTTTAAGATAATACACATACTTCACTAGTCATATATTGATATCATACTGCCATCTTTAAGATGGCAACAATACAAAATGCCATCAGAACAAAGCCAATGACATAAGTCCCATAACATGGCATCATGTGACAAAATAACAATTTCAGTTAAAAACATGGCACCGTAAGACTAAAATATGTCCATCTTCATCAAGTAATGCCAAAAAATGCATTAATTCCATATCAATGCTTGAACCAAGGGTAATTGCCAAAGGTAAATAATAACAATAGTTGTGCCACTTTCAGATTCAAACTTAGTGCCATAAAATTGAGATTATTTTTCAAAATGACATTTTGAGATTGAAAAATAAGGAAATGCCATGTTGACAAAGGAAATGCAAAAATAGAATTCATTTGATCCCAATGTTCGAATTAACTTTAGTCACAGATTAATTAGAAACTGAATTCAATAAAAAATATCATAATAAAAAGTGAAGAAAATTGGAAAAAACATAAAAAAAAAAAGCAGATATAAGCAACCGAAAACAGAGGAAGGGAAGAAGTAGATGGGAAGGAGGAGGAAAAGGAAGAAAGGAAGGAGGAGGAGAAAGATGACCTACCTGCAAAATGATGCAGAGAAGATGAAGGAACAGTAATTACGGTGGAGAAGATGAAGGTGCGGCAATTTCCGAAGAAGAAGAGATTTGCGGCCGCGACGTCCGGCGAAGAAGAAGAGCGCAGCGGGATCCGGCATCCGGTGAAGAAGAAGAGAGCAGCGGGCTCCGAAGTCCGGCGAAGAAGAAGAATAGATTCGCGGCCTCCAGCGTCCGGCGAAGAAGAGAGAGATGTCCGGCGACTGGAAGAGAGTGGATTAGAACGGGGAAGGGAAAGGTCTAGATCTAAAATTGAAAACGTATACATGCCACAATCAGAAATCAGTTGCTCCGTAATAAATTATAACGAGGGTAATAATGTCATCTGGACTCCTATTTTGGGAATATAAAATGTGAACTCCTATTTAAGAATTTATGCAATGTTTTACTCCCATTTTGAGCAATTTCTCAAAAGGCAAACCAAACAAAAGCAAAAAGAAAAATAAAAATAAAATAAAACTAGCCACATGGCTGTCACGTGGGTGCCACATGTATACATTAACCTGATAACCGCTACTTTACCGGTTAAAACGTAATATTGAACGATTTTTCATAGTTGGAGGATTTAATTGGGTGATTTGATAGATTTAATTGACTTTTCTGCTATAGTACGAGGACCTATTTGATAGTTTTTCCTTGAATATAACATGCCCCGTGTCTCGTTAGGTAAGACAATAATTTTTTTACGTTTTGCCTCCATGACTACTCAGACCTTTTGGAGTGGTGTAGGATTAAGAGTCCAAAATGCTAAAAGTGGAATTTTTGGACTTCTAAGACCTTTTGGAGTGGTGCAGGATTAGGAGTCCAAAATGCTAAAAGTGGAATTTTTGGACTCCTAATTCCTTGTAGTGGTTGGCTTTATGGGGGAGTAAAAATGGAGAAGGGGATGAAGAGGGATATATTTGAAAGGTGTGATGACTCCCTAAAATTAAAGAAAAAGGAAAAGTAAAGGGGGAATGGGGGCGCATGTGTTGTGCGCGGGGAGAAAGAGGCCAAGCGGCCCTTGTGCACAGGAATTATTTGCACAAGATGACGTCATGCTGACATTGTGATAGTGTCACACAGCACCCACAAGCTTGTTTATTTTAAAAAATATTGGTCGATCCAACGACTGTGATGATTTGGACAAAATAATTGATCTAACTGCTGAAATTGAAATCCAACGGTTAAAATAATTTATTTTATTTTTCCATTATTTTTTATTAATATTTTGTCCGAAAATCCTATAGAAACAACCTGATGAATTTCACGTATGTTTCAAATTTAAATTCCATGTTTTTTTATTTTAATTTATTCCATGTGTTTGAACTGACTTCAATGCTCCAATGTGTTTAAACTCACTTCATCCAAAAACGTAAAAAAAATATATTAATGAAATTTATTTATTTTTACATCAAAATGTGTCTTTTTTATTTTGTAATTAATCAGAGAAAAAATTAAAAGCTAAGGAAAATATTACTTATAATAATTTAATTAATGTTTTACTAAATTGATATGTAAAAAACATGCAGAGTGCATTTAATTGACGGTGCTGGAATGCAGAGAAATAGGAGTCAAAACACTGTTTTCATATGAACGGGGTCCATTTTTAACATTTGGACCCCCACACCACTCCAAATGTTCTCATGACCAGCGGTCTCAAATTAATGTAGGGTAAATGTATATTCAACGGTCACACAAAATTAGAACAAAACTAAAATGCCTTTTTACAATTGGATGTGTTGTTTTTACTAAATATATACATTTCACCCCAAAAGGAAATGTTTTTTTTTTGCTTTTTATTATGACTAAATGGCTCATATAAGCATGCTGCACGCATGCTTACTTAATAAATTATACATTTCGGCCGTTTAACCGGTTTGGACCTGTAATAGCAAGTTATTACATTTTTAAGAATTTAAATAAAAATTGTAATAATTTAAGAATGTCATACTCTATTTTATGCGTCTTTGGAATGACTTATATTTTAAAAGTGTTTACATTATATTGTTATTCGTAGTATTATTTACGTTTTTACATATTTTGGTTTTTCTGTTTCCTATTTTTTTATCTTAACAGTTTAAAATTATTTATCAATCTTTTCGTTTTTACTATTTTATATTAGTATTATACTCCATATTATTTATCTATTTATTAATTTTTATAAGATTTATCAATTGTACTAATTTCTATCAGAAAAATCAATTGTCCTAATTTATTTCTTCAAAAATAACCTGCTATAGCGGATAAAAATGACTTGAAGGACTGCAATTTCAAATTATGTGTATTGATATTTTTTTAAATGAACAGAGGTGATGAATTTAAAATATTAGAAGAGTCTGTTTTGACATTTTCAAAATTACACGCATGAATACTTTACCAAATTAAAGTTGGCCATCATGAGGTCCCTTTACCTATTTCGGCCCATGTCACAAGTCACAAAACTTCGGAATCTTTGATATTGTTGTATAAATAAATAAATGTCAAATGATTCTAGTTTAATTTCTAATAGCCCTCCGTCTCTTTATCTTTGTTTCATGGGTAATTCTATTTACAGTCCTTAATTTACTAATCACAGCCATAAAATTAAATCCAAATATCCAAATTATCCTCACTATTATTACATCACTGCTCTCTTGCAGCAAACAATCAAGCTTAAAGTCTACCGGCGGTCAAGGGCTTATTCCGGCAAACAAAAAAATTAAAAGAATTCTCTTCTACAGGCTACGACAGAACTTCCAGCATCTTGGTTTCAGTTTCTTGGACAGCATCCAAGAGGCCAATCAACCAAGGTTTTAAATAGCCGTAGCGGCAGCGGTAGCGGTCATCGCGGTAGCGGCCTGTAGCCGACTGTAGCAGTTGCAGCAGCGTGAAATATTTTCAATTGCGCAAAACATATATTTAATGGGTGTTAAAATTAATAGAAACATTATGAATATTTGTTTGAACACTTATAACATTAACAACTAAATCAACTTTTGTTAAGTCGACATTTTTTCGTCAACCGATATTAAAGTTAAATCATCCTTATTAATAAAATGCATCACCATTAATGTGTTTTTTCACATCATTCACACAACATTTACACATTTACACATCAAACACTTCGTGATGTACTGCCGGAAATATCAACAGCGGGCTATAGCGGGCGGCATAGTGGATTTTTCCTGTGATTTGGAAATCACACACGAATAGCGGGCCGTAGCGGTAGCGGCCCCTACCGCGACCACTATATTGCGGCCGCCTATGTAGCACCAAAACGGGTACGCGGAAACGCGGAAACGAGAACGGGGATACGACAAAACCAAAAAAAGTAGGATACGGATACGAGGCCATATTTATAAATATTAAAAGTTATGGGGGTGTATTTATAAATATTAAAAGTTACAGAGGTTTATTTATAAATATTAAAAATACAACTTTTTTTTGAAAAAAATTGACATATATTTTCCTCTGACGTCTACTCATTCATGCATTGAAGCATTTTACATTTTCAAGATACTTAGAAATAAGTTCATATTTTATCTCATATACACGAGTGCACCTCGAAATATAATCATATCAATAAGTCATTAATTTAAAATGAAAAATAAGCCAAACAACTACAATTTTGAAATTAATAGTGCAAGTACTCAAATTTCTAGAATAATGAAAATAGAAAACAATATTTTAAAAGTTCTAAAACATATTGTCGTTGGAACTATTAATTTCCAGGGATAATTAAAATTACGGATAGGAGGATGGGTGAATTACGAATAGGCCCATTAGTTGTGTACTACATAAAAGTAAGGGAAAATCATTTTTAGTTTTTCATTTTTTAAGAATTCTATTGAGTAAATTTTGAGTGTTTTTTTGGAAGATTTTTTTTAAAAAAAAGTTGATACGGGTATCCGTCAGGATACGAGTATCCTAAATTATAAAATAATTACCAAAAAAATTGGAAACTTTTAAAAATTGCAAATACGGCCCGAGAATGTACGGTACGAGTATCCTAGAGTATCGGATACGGGAACATTTCCGATACGCCGATACGGAACCCTAGGGAAGTATCCGTGCTCCATAGGCGGCCGCTATAGCAGTAACGGGCCGCTATTTCAAACCTTTGAGCTCTCAGAGGCTTTGATGTTAGTTCATTGGACTTCAGGATCTGAGAATTACTTTGGTTAATTTGTTCTTCAATTCTAAGTTAGCTGGTATGGATATCTTTGTTGCACCATTTTTTACGACCTTTCTATGTTTCCTTCTCAGTGTTCTACGGTTCATAACATCTTGATAACGTACGGCTCTGAGTTCGTCAAATAGCAAAGAGACAGAGTGAAGCTTTTCTCAAAATCAAAACCACTACATGTTTATGTGCCATTGTACCCGCATTCAAAGATTCACCTTGAATCAATGAATCCCATCCAATCCGTGGTTTTGTCTCTAATGTTCACCATCTCTTCACTGATTGAAATTATAAATTGGAGGAAGGACCGATGAGGATTGACAGCTGTAGATGGGAATAAGGGTATGAATGTATGATAGGAATTACAAAAAATATGTGTGTATTTACCAAAACAGAGGCTGTGAATAGAATTACCCTTGTTTCATTTTACCTTTTTCATATGGTTTATTAAGTTTATCTCATATCATATTTGGTATTCCCTTTGTTCCTAAATATTTTCCGAATTTGGTTTTCATTAGTCTCCAAATAATATCATTTTTACTTTTTTGGCAATTGGTTTTTTCTTCCGACATTTCTCACACATTTTTCACATTCTCCTATCCTCTACACAACTCTCCATCATGCAAATCACACTTTTCTTAATTCTCGGACAAAAATCCATTTGTAAGATAATACAAGGACGGAGGTACTAATATTTGTGCATTTCCAATTCATTCTTATTTTATTCAAACTTTATCAACTCAGTAGTACCAACCACATAATCCTACTTTTTAGACGGCAGAGCCAATGTTCTCCGCCGAGGCACTAGGCGCCACAAGTTGTAAACTAACCGAATGGACTATAAATTAGTATTTGAGTTTAGTATTTTGTTTGAATTTTTATTTGTATTTTTCGAATTCGAACAACCTTATATGAATTCGACTCCCGAATCGGATATAAATTATTTCATTCTTATACAACCCTGCTAGGCAGTGGAAGGACACCCCGATTTAAGTATAGGTGTCACGAATAATTGATATGGCGTAGATGAATTAGTTGGTTGCTTAATTAAGGCACTTACTTGCCCGCTAGCGCCTAATCGGCTGCCTATGAAGTCTAGATTCACCAATCTTAGTGTTTGCTTTTTTATTTTTTCCT